CAATAAGACCGTCAAGAAAAGCCCTTCATAAATTATGATTAGCGCAACTGTGCCCGCCGCAACGGTCATAAATAGGGTATTGAATTTTTGGCCAGGTGATAACTAGGGTAGGGAAAATCGCAGATTTAGGTCATAAATAGGGTAAGAGTTTTGGGAGGTGGGCCGCACACCCCCACGCAACTTTTCTGGGAGTACCCCCACCCGGGAGTAAAACACAGCAATCCAGTAATCAGAGTCACTCTAACACGTTTACATGGTGCTCTTATACAGAATTGTAGATGCTCTTCTCGTTGGAGCACCTTCTAACGATCCTTTCCTGTAAACCTTTTTTTTTATTTCTGATCGTCGTGTTTCTCATTTCATCGTCTTGTTTGTATGAGTAATCAAATGATTTCGAGTGCATTAAAGTACAAGTAAATTTTTCAAAGAGTACAAAAAATTGCACGAGTCCTGCTCGATCGTGCAATTTGTAGTCTTGAAAAATTTTGGAGCGCTTATTTATTCCAAACTACTCGAGAAAAATCATTTGATTACTTGTTAATAATATACAAGTGACAGTTTCTGTCACGCTTCAGTCTTTACGTGACAAATGGAGGCGTCAAGCTACTTCAACTTTATAGGATAAAAATTTGACATGTTGACTTCATTCATTCTCTCCAAGTCATGTATGAAAACTGAGCAGTTTCTTTTAACTGTGAAAAGTAGTCTTTAATCGCAGTTGACTATTGAAGAACGTAACAAGAAAGCAACGAAAAAAAAAAAATCCTGCGGTTTTGCTGCGGCTTGCTTGCCAACTGTTTTTTGAGCGGTTGAAAACAGGCTCTGTGCCGTGTTTTAAGTTATATCTTCGCGGAGAAGAAACTCTTCAACCCAGTACGAGTTGCCTTAACCAAAGTCGAGAAACGAAGCTTAATGAGACCCTGCTGGTGTGCAATTTAGTATAAATTATTGAAGCCACACCCACACAGGGGGAGGGGCAGATGTAACAGTACCAGCGAGGATATTTATATGGGTAACAACATTGCAACCCGCCCCCCTCACCCCCTCCCCTTTTGCTGGGAAACAGGAAACAGAAACAAACCACTGATTATGGTGGCAAAACATGGGTGGCAGGGAAGACAGAGCCTATCTCCCCTAGAGTAGCGGCGTCTCTAGGGGAACCTATGTTGCCACCAACCTGGAGAGATCCCGACCTACTTCCTTGGAAGTAACATAGGATGGACCAGAAGAGGGGGTGCCCCTCTGGGAGGACAATAGGTCAGATGCTACGATGACACCATCCTGGAGAGATCCGGACCTATTTCCAAGGGTGGCCATAGTACTTACTGTGGGGTAAAGTGCAGCCTAGATTGCACTTCCCTGCCACCAAAAAACCTTTATTGACTAAGCAGCTATGGTTTACACACAATATAACAAATAGAACGTGGCAGTGAAGAAACCGAGAAGGTTCAGCAGGCGAAAGCCACCTTCTCACGAAAGGTAATTACAACYACATGGAGGAAAAAGATGGGAAAGGACAAAGCTACCAATACAGGGGAGGGAGGGAGGGGAAAGCGGAGAACGGCCTAGCTTGAATACTAGCTCACAACTGGGACAGGGTCAGAAAACAATGGGATTTTACTAACTGGGGATTGAGGGTGTTGGGAGGGGTATAGCACGCTGGAATCACATGAGAGCATGGTGGAAAATCACTGGGAACTTTGTCGTATGATTTCCCATATGGTAAGACTATTGGGTTGCAGTGGACATTGACCTAAGGTTATTGCACAACGGCTAATAGGGGGAAGATAACAGAACTGGTGACAACCTTAGATGACAGCTATGATATAGACTACAGCTCATTAACCTCAGTTTAAATGCTTAAACTTCTAATAAAATCTACCAATAAAAGGATTTTTTTTAGCCCTGAAGGACATTTATTAACTTCTCCCGGTTGCTGCCTGACTTAAATGTAAGCTTCTCCATTGGACGTTGTACGGGTTAGATTTGCCTCTTTAAGGTTTTGCCGCGTTTTGCTGGTGAACAAAATTACCTAATCATTGCTCTTTCCTTCTTCGCGTTTGCGTTCGCAGTGCTGAAGAATTTTAACATATCTTTTCAACTGGGATTTTGTAATGCCGTCGTGATCGGCTCCGACATATTTCACTTCAAGTTCAAGTTCATGTTTCGTCCTGCTTTTGTGTATATTTTTTGTCTTACACACTTCGCGACAACTGGTTTAGTAATTTTTGCTGGGCTTTGTACTTTGCTTCGTTATGAAGTCTTTGTATTAAGATTTAGTTAAAGAATTTCAATCTTCGTCTAATTTTTGTCTGCCATTTTGTCTGTCCGAGGCCAATTTTATCAATCATTTTCAGTTTCACCATTTTGCAATCGATTTCACTTTTCTGCACTGAGGAAATTACACTGATTTGGGATTAATTGATCTGTTCTTAGCCAATCAGAACAGAGTATTGTTGCGTGTATATAAGGGGCGGACCATTAAAAAAGTGATGGGTGGGGGGGGGAGGTGGGTTGGTGAGGGAAAAAAAAATCGAGCAAGGGAAAATGGCAGCGAAAACAAAATTCGTGCATAGGGAAACCCTAAGAAAAATAAAAGTTCATGCATAGGAAGGGTCGCATTTTGGTATTAAATGAGCCTAATTATAACTCAGCAAAATTAACAATTGCTCAAAACGGTGGTGTTTAAAATATTGACAAATTTTCAAGTGTTTGTTTTGGTCTCATACTTGTGTCAACTCTTCGATCTTAACTATTCACAACTTTAATATTTTGATTATTCCTCAAATTTAAATATGTCGTCAATGACTTGTCAAAGAAGATAAAAGCAACATAATTCACTCAAATTCACTTTCTTTGATTGCCCGGTTTTTATTGTAAAACATTTACAAAAACTGTGCAATAAATAAGTGTGCAAAACCAAGGGATTATTCTCTCGATAAAACTTAATAGTATGTATCAAATACCAAAGTGATTTATCCAATAGGAATTTTTTCTTCAGGTTTTCTAAATTTTACCTACAGTATAACGAATTTTCTTTTATTATCAATTTTAATAATCTCAATGTCAGTTTATAATCTTGGTATTTAAACCTCAACAGCCACATTTTATTGAAAAGTGTGATAAATATTCCAACAATATACTGAGTGTTTGAGTAACACATGGAAAAATAAAGCTACCAAAAAGTAATTACAGCAAGATAACGTTTTGAATACAGTTAAGAATGAGTCATTTTACTTTAGCTCCCAAACTGAGAAAATTGAATTTGGAGATGCTGCATGTCAATTATTCAAAACAAAATGGCACCCAATTTTATCCATTTTTAACTTGGAAAATAATATTTTCCAAGCTAAAAGAAAGTAATATTTTCCAAGTTGTAGGTGTGGATGAGACTTACTCCTTCGCACCTTCGCTCCCTCCTTCGCTCCTTCCTACGCTCCTTCCTTCACTTCCTGTTAGACATTTCGAACATCAATCGTGTCAAGTTTAATATTCGAGAGATAGAAGGTGAAACGATTTTTCGATTGTAATGAGGGAAATACTTTATGGTTCTTTCATCGCGATTCGATTGTAAAGGAAAATTCCTTTACGTACCTAAGTAAAACCGTTTGGAAACTTAGTGCGCGACGAAGGCTAGCATTATTTCAGTTCGAAAGCGATCAAAAAATTCGACGAATTATCGAATGATTAAAGGCTCCAGATGATTTTTAAACACAAGAAACGGAAAGCAAAACGCTGCCTTTCGGTAAATGGTTTCCTGACGTAAAAAAATGAATGCCAGACAGTTAACTGCATAAACGGCTGCTGCATAGAGAACTGTGTCAGAGCAAGCGTTCAGTTGCAAAGAATCCCTCAAAGACCTAGGCGCAGGCATCAACGTCAACACTTTGGAGTCTCTTTCTCTGGACCGTCCCAACATACGAAGGAAGATCAACGCGCCACTCGCTGGCAAATATTGTAGGAAGCAGATTAAAAAAAGACAAACATCATGCAAAGGGTTGCAGTAGAAAGACAAGACGAATGTCTGCGTGAACTCGGGCTTTTCTAGAACACAACACTTTTTGTTCATGTCGTCACGGCCTCAAGTCCTAATGAACTAGCAAAGTTGTGACCTGGATGCACGAGTTAGTTGTAAGTCCAGGAAGCTGCCTTAAATCCGCCTATTCAAAACTTACTTGAAAACGCTCCGATCGTCATGTTTTCGCGGCGGTTAAAGGTAGAAAAATTCTTCAGCAGAAAGGTTTGAGGATTCTGTACACCTCGATCTTCCATTCTGAGGCCACCTAAACATTTATTTGTGTCTTTTCTTTCTATTTTAAGTTCCAAAGAAGTAAATAAATGAAGATCAGAGTCATTCTCGCATTTCACGCGAGCCAAAAATCCCCCACCCCTCCCTCATCACTTTTCTAATGGCCCTTCCCTAATACTGAACGAAAGAGACGTTTCAAATAAATGACAGCAACAAGATTCTACTTGTGATGTTTGCAGACATAGTTTCGCCACTGAAATGCCAGTGTTTCATGAGAATCTTTTAAGATTCGGTGTGGCTGGGTTATAAGTGGTAACAAACGGTATAATTTTTTTCGCCTTCTTTTTTTTGTTACGAAGAGCTTCTGTTCTGTCTGAANTTTTTTTTTTTGCGGGAACTTTTTTTGTGAATCGTAGAAAAAAGCGCAAAAATCGCAAAAATTAGAACCCGCAAAAAGTTAGTGCCACACGGTAAGTGCAGCTGTACACAGTTTTCCAAGAGTGAAGCCCGAGGAAAACTGTAAGCTTCGAAAAACAGTTTCAGTAGCATTATCTGTGACAAGACTGGACTAATCACGCCCACGAGTGATTTTAAGTCGCAACATGCTAATTGCGTAATGAACTCTCAAGTGACGTCACAAATGGCACGCTTTATTTAACTTACTTAATCTCGTGCGCCGTTTTAATAATTAACGCTATAAGTTTGAGTTTAACCTGAATAATAGGATTTTTATAAATTGAGAGGACTAGAAATGGCTGTTCGCTTGCTGGATTATGCCTTTAGTGGCAATTTGCGCAAAGTAAAGCGATGTATAAACAGTGGAGTTGACGTGGATGCTTGTGAAAGTTCTGGGAATTCAGCTCTTTATCACGCTGTTAGTAGAAATCAACATAAGTGCGTGAAATATCTTTTGAGTTGTCGAGCAGACCCTAACAGGTAAAGCGGCATAATTTTTAAATAGTATCGATATGTAGATAAGTGATAACAAATACAAAATAATTAGGGATCATTGTTTTATTGTCACAGAGCATTAAACGGCAAAATAGACTGATGAAAAGTATCAAGGGTTAATGATGCAGGGATCTAGAAAAAGTTAACCTTAATTTCTTAAGTTGCTTGGTATATTGGACGTCTGTGTCATTCTTAAGCATGCCGTTTGTTCAATTTTGGGTCATTATTAGATCTTGGCCTCGTCTTACTTTAAGTTTTTCATTCAGAAAAGTGCCTTATGACTTTTCTTTTTAAAACTCAATTCTTCGTCATATTGTAAGTCAGGCATATAAATTGACTTTTGTCATGCCTTGCAGTCGCTACATGACTTATATATTTGTTGAAAACGAAGTATGAAATATGAACAGCCCCTCAGTCAATCAATATTAAGTCGAGATGAGTCACAAAATTGACTGCTACCGCCGTTCGTAATCTTGTTAAAATTCGCGGATTTGCAGTAAAACGCCTACCAAATACGTACGATGAACTTTAACCCTCGGACGTACAAGGAAAACCCAGGTGACTTCAATGAATGTAAGGTTTTTTCAAATTTTGAAAAGACGATTTACTTTAAGGGCTAAAATTTTCAGTAGCTGTTCCTTCATTCTCTGCAGAAATTTTGATTTGTCAATTGCGTGTCCATCATTTTTTATGTTGCCATGGCAACCATCAAATTTCAAGTAGGTCTGGCCAAAACTCAACTTTTTTTTGAAATAATTCTGTATTCCTTCCAGTTTTCTTCATAAAATTACAGAAATTCATGCATTTGTACATTTTATAAGCAATGTGGCTTGATTTTGTGTTGACTTTTTAGGAAAGTAGTAAAATCCAAAATCGCGGATCCAAGATGACGGGTCAAACGACGTCATTTGACATCATATGACGTCATAAGCAACAAAAAATTGGCATCATCTTGTAGAGCAAGCTCAGGGCTATCTAATCAATGTAAATTTGTTTCGCTTTACCTTAACAGAACACAAACGCAGAGGGGGATTCCATCCACCCCCCGCCCATGGGGGTATGAATTAGCTTGTACATCCGAGGGTTAACCTTCAGTACAAGAACATAATTTATAACCCTAGCTCCTACAGGAAGAGTCCCTTAAAATGTTTTCTCTCCGCCATAGCTGTTGCCGTATTGTTACTAAGCCGTTCACGCTTTTCCTTGTCTACGCATGTGTTGTTAGTACTGATATAATCCAGCCCTTGCTCGAGGCGTTTTGTCTTGTTCAGTCTTGTAACATTAAACCTGGAGTTCGTCTCAATTTATTCGCTCTCCTACTGTTAGCGGCGTTTCCAAGGAGAGCCAGGAACTAACGGGGGAAGGTTGCATCTTACCCTGATAACCGGCCAAGTTTTTATCGTGTTATTAGGGACCTTTAGCTTGGCTGTAAGTACGAGATTGAGTAAGAATACGATTTGCGAATTTCAAACCAGCGAAATATCCAGATCCCTCGCTCCTCATGTTGGTTTTAGGTAGAGAGGGTAGCTCATGGGATGGGATGGGTGTGTGATGTGGAGCCTGCAAACTGGAATAGAAAAGTTGCACTCGTAGTCGATCTTGCTCTGGTACTGGTCGGTACTCAAATCTTAAGTCCCTTATTTAACTTTGAGACTGCGAAGACCTGCAAACTGAGACAGTGTTCGTTCCGTATCAAATGGGATTAAGGACGGCTAAAGCATACACTATGTCGGGTATTATTAGGCAAAGCCTAAATGTTTGTCTCGAGCGGTTTCAGCGCTAAAACACGCAGTTGTCATCGCGCAAGGAGCAAACCCTATTTGCCAAGATCTGGGACAAACACTTAGACATAAGACAACTTTAACCCTCAGTCTGTTGTGGGAGAACTCCATCAAATTATTGTAATATTAACTGCCGACAACTATTGACTATGATTGTTATCGGCCAGCAACGAGCTCTCTGGTCTGTAGTTGTCATACTACTGCACTGCACTTAAGTCTACGTCTTTTGGTCCACACAGGATTAACAAAGAGGGTTACTCTCCAGTGAACGAAGCCTGCTTTAAAAACAACGTGAAATGTTTAGCTCTGTTGGTTCAATATGGAGGTTCACTAGATCAGCTTTCCGCTGATCACAAAGAAAGTGCGATTGTGTCTGCTTACAAAAAGCACAGCACAAAAGTTATCAGATTCATAAACCTGTTAAAGGATGAAGCCCTCACCAAAGACGGGCATGACTTACTTGAATTAGAAGCTGAGCACAAACAAAAGGTACCATAATTGTTAATTGGAAACGCCTCGTGAGAAAGCGCGCACTTAAAGTGGTACTTTAGTTAGCCTGTGTAGCTGGCAATTAAGTTGGGGTAGAGCGCGCGATAGGGCAACCGGCAAAGCCGCGAAAACGGGCAGGCAAGCCGCCAGAGGCTTGGTGGTTTTCCCTCCAGGCCACTCGCGGCTTCGCCGCTCGTTTACGCGGATCACGCTCTTTTCGGTCCTCTAACCAACTAACTAAATCGCCAGCTACGCAGGCTATACTTTAATAAGAAACAGAATTAGCACGAGCTGTTTAAGCGAAAATAATTTAGTGACAAGGGAAGGTGACGATAATGGAGAAAACAATACTAATGATATACAGAAAACCTATGGTTTAAATTTAACTGACAATTACGGAAACAATATATAATTATTAGATGTCTTAAAAACTCTTATTATCTTAAGTTATTTTGATCTTTCTTGTCCAGGTAGTGTTTCCATAATTGTCATTTTAATTTGTACCATAACTTTTATTTCTGTTTTCTATATTTTTTTTGTCCGTTTCCCGACTAGGAGGTAGAAATCCAAACTATTCAGTCTGTTGTCCTACCCGGACTAGAGGCTGTTATTCCTCAAATAACCTGTGGAGAGTTAAAAACTCCTTGCATTAAACTATTCGACGATATGCCGCACATGACCCTACAAAGTGCATTGTGGCACTCCACCCCCGTGACTGTGAAACGTTTCAAGGGACGGGAGGATAGCAGGCAACTTCTACTGAAAGAAGCGGATCTACTCAGGTAAAAGTCTCTTTCTCGATTTAACCATCTGTACCTTTTCAAGCCTGGTTACTTGACAAAATTGTCATCCTGTTTAATTTGAGGAGTTTAATTTGATCTTTGATTTCAATTCTTTAATTGATGAAAATTTAGTAGCATAAATAATCTGCTATTGGCCAATCTTTCAAGTGAGACCGTTTTCAAGTAACTGGTCGTCAGTAGCCCGGGGGGTGCTCCCAGAAAAATTGGGTGGAAGTGTGCGCACCGCTCCCAAAAATCCTTTCTCTATTTATGACCAAATCTGCGATTTTCCCTGCCCTATTTATGACCTAACCAAAAATTCAATACCCTATTTATGACCTAATCCTCTCATCAATCCCCTGTTTCAGGTCTGCCTTACAATTAGTTACCTGTTCAGGCCGATGTTACGGCGTCGCGAAGGGCTTTTGTTCATGGTCTTATCGAAAATACTGACGAAAGAGTGGCTTCTTATAAACAAAATAATAACAATTTCAAGACGAGTGCAAAAACCATCCCTATTTATGACCAAAATGGCCAAAATCGATATCCTATTTATGACCAAAACGGCTGAGAAACCATACCCTTTGGGCCGCACATACCTACA